ATCATGTTCATTGTGATACCCTCCTTCTTTGTTTTGAGTGATGCTTTGATGATTCTGGATCCGTGAGATTCCCATCTTACAAGTGCTACTATGGAAAGCATTAGAGCAACTCCCTGAGTGTGTGGAGCATTTTCCTCTTCGTGACCGGAGTATAGCAGCATCTCTCCCGTATTTGGCCTTTGTTTTCCAGCCTGGGTTCAATGGGTTTCGCTGGTTTCGAGTACTGCCAAGTTATATCTCCTCATTTCCGTTGCTATTTGACTGTTCTTCGTGGTCTCCCACATTGTCCGGACGTTCCATGTACCTATAAAAATTGTTGCTCTGGTTGTTAGAAGGGGCATCGGCCTCCAGGCTTCCGAAGGAACTCGGCTTTCACCATGAGGCGTTATATTTCTTCTAAATGAAGACCTTCAAACTCCCAGGGCAGAGTTTAAATGGTTTGAGTTATTTTTTCTGGTTAACGTTTTTTAGCGAGTTAGTTTAATACGGGATGGAGACGCTAACCCCACGCCCAACCTTCCTCCTTTATCCGGGCTTGGGACCGGCAGTAACTCTAAGAGAGTTACAGGAGGAGTTAGCTATCTTCATAGTAGTGTGATATAGTAAATGGACATCTAACCCATTATACAAACGCTTTAACTATCTGATTTGCTTGTAACACGGAACCAGTAGAGACAGTGTATTCCAACTGTGGGCTTTGATTAAAGTCACACCTGAGCAAGTGTGAAAATTACAGAGGCATTTCACTACTGTCAATACCAGGAAGTCTTTAACAGAGTGATACTGAACAGGATGAAAGACACAGTAGACGCTCGACTTCGAGATCAACAGGCTGGATTCCGTAAGGACCGGTCGTGTACAGACCAGATTGTGACACTAAGGATCATCATCGAACAATCAATCGAATGGAACTCGTCATTGTACATTAACTTCATTGACTATGAGAAGGCATTTGACAGTGTAGATAGGAGGACGTTATGGAAAATTCTTCGACACTATGGAGTTCCTGAGAAGATTGTCAACATTATCCGGAACTCATACGACGGACTACAGTGCAAAGTAGTGCATGGAGGACAGCTGACAGACGGATTCCAAGTGAGGACCGGAGTAAGACAAGGCTGTTTACTCTCTCCCTTCCGCTTTCTTCTGGTGGTCGGCTGGATTATGAAGACCTCGACATATGAGGGAAAACACGGCATACGATGGACAGCTCAGAACCAATTAGACGATTTAGACTTCCCAGATGACCTGGCCCTCCTATAGCATACACACGAACAAATGCAGACAAAGGCAGTCCGCAAGCAAGAGAATTCTAATATGTTAAAAAAAGAAGTGTAAACAAGATATGAGTGGATAAACAACCGAAAAATAGAGGTGGTTCAAAAAGAAGCTGAAAGTATGGGATTATGTGTAGTTATAAAAGTTAGTGCTGAAAAAAGTTTTCTGACACACGAAAGGCTGTTTCTCTTTCTTTTTGAAGATATTTGAGCCCATCTTGGTAGATTTTATAGGGTCTTGAGTGGGCTTGGTTTTAGGCGAACTGTCTGGTTTGCTTGTAATAGGATTGCTCGGTGGAATGTGAAACCGATTCAACGTTCTAAGCGCGATTTAATGGGGTATTTTGCATGATAAACCAGGATTAATACCATTAGTTCGTGACATTCCACCAGACCACAAGGAGCCGTTATTTAACAAAATGTTCTGCCCTACAGACACGGGTGGATGGAAGTTATTTTCCCACCATCATTTTTGCTGGTCAGTAACGCCACACTCCCTCCTTTTGTGATTTTAGACTATCTTACGTTTGTGGCAAGTATGAATACTACTTTAATCAAAGCTTACTTACTTACTTACTTACTTACTTACGCCTGTTACTCCTCGTGAAGGAGCATAGGCCGCTCACCAGCATTCTCCATCCAACCCTGTCCTGGGCAATCCTTTCAAGCTCTTTCCAGTTCTTATTCATCTTTTTCATATCTGCTTCTATTTCCCGACGTAATGTGTTCTTTGGCCTTCCTTTTTTTCCGCTTCCCTTCAGGATTCCAAGTTAGCGCTTGTCTCGTAATGCAGTTTGATGATTTCCTTAATGTATGTCCTATCTAATTCCATCGTCTTTTCCTAATTTCCTCTTCAGCTGGAAGCTGGTTGGTTCTCTCCAACAAAAGGCTGTTGCTGATGGTATCCGGCCAATGGATGCTGAGTATCGTGCGTAGACAGCTATTAATAAATACCTGTACCTTCTTGATGGTGGTTGTTGTAGTTCTCCAAGTTTCAGCTCCGTACAGTAGAACTGCCTTGACGTTCGTATTGAAGATTCTGACTTTGATATTGGTTGGAAGTTGTTTTGAGTTCCATATGTTCTTCAGTTGAAGGAATGCCGCTCTAGCTCTGCCAATCCTCGCCAGGTCAGCATGGCTTTAGAAAAGAATTTTCTTGCACAACATACCCTATAGAAAGAAATGGATGGATTTGCCAGATAATGGAAAATTAATGAATGTAGTCTACATTAACTTTAGCAAATCATTTTATAAGCTGTCACGCAATAGACCCTTTATAAAGCTGGAAAATCCAGGGACTGCCGGACCTATTCTAAAGTAGATCAAAGGTTCCTTGGCTGGTCTCAGGCAGAAAATAAGAATAAATGCCAAATATCTTTCGTGGGAACAAATACTTAGGTGAGTAATGTAGAATCTGTTCTATGTCTCTTACTTTCTAAACTGCATGTAAGTTAACCCTTGTGCATCGTTATGTTCCTAATGTTACTTTACGCTTATAGTGAAACAGCTTGAGAAGTAACAGGGATGCAGGTGCATATGAACAGGAGGCCGATTCAGACATTTTGGTTAATTGATCTAAATCGTAGTCAATATCTATCATTGTGTTCAAGTGTGTTTAAATGAGCATCAGATACCAAAAAAACAAATAGTCACAGCATTGAGAAAGCGTCAAAGTCCTCAGTTCAATCTCAAAATAATTTAGGGGTAATAGTGAGCCATGGCTTTACGATGACGACCCTACGTTGTGTGATTGCAGCTGAGAGGTTCAGAACCTTATGAGCTTTAAGTTGTGTGGAGGTTAATTCCTCAAAATCTGACTCCAATAAATAGTATCCCGTTAACTGAGTATTTACGCAGGCTAGATACGCTTAAAGTATTATGAATTTGCTCGAGATTATTCAAAAGCCCAAGCACTTATTGCAGAAATGGTTTATTGTTAAAGATTAGTGAAACCCTCAATCGTGCAAACAGCAAGTAAGTAGGGAAACAAGTGAGTATTAAAAATCCATACGTATTTATGAGTGTTAATCGATTGTGGACAAATTATTGATTGTCTTTGATCACAAACAATGAGAGAATAGATTGGAAATTGATGTGCAGAACGCGCACAACCAGACCCATAAATAATTTTACACAATATATTCAATGCCAAATAACAGTGGGCAGACAAATAATACAATAGTTGAATAGGCTTAATGTAGATGGACATTGCGAAGTTGGGTACAAATATGTTCGTTACAGTATTCACGACCGTATTGCAATCCAAACATGAAAATTGAATTCAGGCAGCAAACCCCTGCTTAAAAAGTGACTGAGAAATGTTGGAAAAGGACAAAGGACAGTAACCGATACAATTTCGAAATCTCGAGGTTTACCATACAGGCTGACTTGATAAGTAAGTCCTCTTCGATCTACCCCACCGCAGATTAGGAAGTGATCTAATTTCTGTGTAATAAACACTAATACAATATTTTTTACTTGATCAGTCCTTTGATTTTCCTCATAATAAACCAGGACAATTCAGAAGACATAACAGACGAGTTCGAAGGCAAAGGGAAAACAAAATACAGGTGAAACACAGATGTTTTCATCGCATAATCAATCGTCGGAACTTGTTATTCGAGGAAGTGGTATACACACTATCAGTCAATTCATCCAATAGATTAGACACACAGAAATGTAGATCATCAACTTTGATGATCTCTGTCGAATGGTTGAGGGCCAACTCGAGTAAGATGGGAATGGTGTGACGAAACAACTAAATTCGAAGTCACGCCTCAAGGTCAGAACCTGACGTGGATTACCCCTTCGTCGTATCGAGGTACTATAGATGCTTCAAAAGCCGTGCAACAGAAAGGACGTTACTATATAAATATATTAGTTTAAGTATGTACAAGCAAAACTGCGACCACCAACGCATGAGCCAGTCCATTGCGTACGCTTGACTGATGCGCGTTGGTCGTCCTTGACTTTGAAAAGGATCGATGATCTATCCGATATTCAGTGACTCCAGCATTAATAATTTCCGGGGTCATAGCACGAAGGTTCACAAACCGCGATCTAATAAACTTAAAGTGGAGTCCCGTTTTTTCACCGACTGGGACGCCTTACTCGAACAAGTGGTATTAGCCCCATCAGTGAATATTTTCAAAGAAAAGCCGGACATTCATTGGAAGGAAATCTGTCAGGATTTACAAAGTGTAGTGTCAGTTACTACGTTAAGCCCATATGCTTTATTCTAGCTTTCGGACAAGCCAATCTATTTATTCTACTTGAGTCACACTCTGACCTTGTTAATCATTCGCCAATCGATTTTGAATGTTTTTATATGGGCGAATATATATGTATACACTTCTTACCCCATTACTCTTTAAATGTCTGTAACTTGTTTTTGTGTGCCTACAAATATTGAATAATGCTTGACTAAAGGGAGTCGGATTACCCGTCATTTCCACTGTGCGTCGTTCCACTTCATTCCATTCCATTTGCTTCATATACAAAACATATGTATTCGAAAGTCCATTCTCGTTATTTGACTTATTTAATTCCGTTATAGACTAACGCGATTTAAGTCGGAGATTATATACGAGAATAAGTAACGTATATATTCTAATAACAATCATTCACTACGACCTCCTTGGAGTCAGACCTCGAGCCATTAAAACAGATTTACCAACCTACTATCCTTATTACTGAAAACTGAAGATTGAAGACTAAGGACACAATCTAAAGGCGGGCTCAATAAGGCTCATTCCTCTCCAAGGTCAAGGGGCTACAGACAGAAAGTAGGTTAGGATTGGTGTTAAGGATATACAGAAAACTAATTGTTCCAGTATCAAATCGAAATTAACATGTTTTAACTGTATATACGTGGCTTAGATGCTGCTTAGTCTTTAGGCGTTACATTCACATGTGCGTTCTAGTACTAGTGTTTCGGTTTCCTAAAGTAAGGTTTGTTATCCACTTTGTCAAATGAATTATGAAGTCTACGACGCGTGTGTGCACTAGCGTTTAGCAGGGAGAATCTACAAGATTACTGGATACAGAGTATTGTTGGCTCTGTCGGACGAACGCGACGCCAACTCAGACTTTTTGCTCCGCGAGTCTCAGGACTATCTAGATTCCGAAACATTCGAATTTCATTAGGTTTTGGTCACAAAGTTGTTAGGTAAGGTAGCACTCTATATACTGATTGGTTTTCACAGAGAGTAACTGGTGTGGTGACTTTGTCTTTGGGTTTAGTCCTTCGTTGACAATAGGCTCTTGACTGAAGTGTTCCAAAGTGAATAACCACACCTTCTGCTTTGTCCTGGTTTACCTTTATCGCTGGGGTTCACTCCATTTTGTAATTGGATTGGGAGTCCAAAGATGAGTCCTTGTTCTATGATTGGTATAAGCGAACAGTCGCTTCGGCTTCTTCAGTTTTCAGTAATAAGGATAGTAGGTTGGTGAACCTGTGTTAATCCTGACATATTTCTTCCCGATGAAGGTCCAGCTTTTCTTTGAAAATATTCTCTGGTGGGGCTAATATCATTTGTTCGGGTAGCGTAGGTGGATACACTCTTTCTTCCTTTAAACTAAGAGATTAAAATCGCTTCATATCTTTCTTTCTACGAACTAATTCTTTATTCCTATATTATCTCCTTATATGCAATTTTTCTATTATATATTAGCACCATTGACTCAACCTCTTCTATGAATTCGCTTTTCATCTCTCTGTGCTAGTGCGGTTTATTTATTTTATTTTAATACAGATATTGGTACAAGGAGGCACCAAATACATATGCGCCACACAAATCTCATTTAATTTGTGTGAGGGCTGTGATACTGACCGGGTGCCCAAACCGAAGCACGTGGTTTTCTTAGGGGACCACACCCCGAGCCTTCGACCTAAAGGTCTGATCCACAAGGCAGTGGAGCATCGCAAGGAGATGCAGCCCCATGGCAAACAGTGGTGACCAACGATTGGTCCATGCGCCGTTTGTTCCCTCGGGATACTGGAGCCCATGTGCACGATTGTTTTGGGATCCGGTTAAAGCGCCGGAAATTCGCTTTTCGTCCTCTCATTTTCGTAAACAACACCCCCGCCACGAGAAGGCAGTGAGTAGGACTTCCCTGTCAGAGGCTATATACGCGTGGCCATGTGAGAGAATTTCTTGAGGGAGAGCGGACTCCCCACTCTCGGCCGTAACACGGCATTTGGGGGCGTGCTAATGCGGTATGGCAACTTGGACCGATGCATATATGTGCCTGGTCCTACGTTGCAGCTGACTGACTGTTCGGGTAAGGCGTCCCAGTCATTAACTACTCAATGAAAAAACGGGACCCACTTTAAGTTTATTAGATCGCGGTTTGTGAACCTTCTTGCTGTGACCACGGAGATTATTAGTGCTGGAAGGAGCAAAGAGATAGGACGTATTAGCACCCAAATCACAATTAAAGATACGAAATGCCAGTATAAGGTCACCTCGAGCCCTATGATACGACAAGGGGGAAAGGTTTAAGCGTTTTAAGCGCTCATCGTAAGGGAGTTAGAAAGACCCTTCACTAATCTTATTCCCACACGCTGAACACGCTCAAGTGAGTTAGTATCCTTTACCAGACATGGGCTAGCTGCTTGGATACAGTACTCTAAGTATTGTCTTACATAGGTGGGATATAAAATTCGAAACATTTGCTCGTCAAAGCTTTAAATGCTTGGCGAAGTGACCATAACGCACGAAAACCTTTGACAGCAGCTGCGTTGCAATGCGTAGTCTTTATCTTCTTGAATGCGTGGAAGAGATGTGCCATTAATAGTATATTGGTAACTGTTACCGTGCCCCCAAGTGCTCTGGTACAGCCGAGAGTGGGGAGAGTCCGCTCACCCTTTGAAAATGCTCTCACATGGCCACGCGTATATAGCCTCAGTCGGGGAAGTCCTACTCACTGCCTTCTCGTGGCGGCGGTGTTGTTAACAAAAATAAGAGGACGAAAAGCGAATGTCCGGCGCTTTAACCGGATCCCAAGCCAATAGTGCACATGGGCTCCAGTATCCTGAAGGAATAAATGGTGTATGAACCAATCGTTGGTCACCGGCTACCATGGGACTGCATCTCCTTAAGATGCTCCACTGCCTTGTGGATCAGACGTTCAGGTCGAAGGCTCAGGGTGTGGTCCCCTAAGAAAACCACCTGCTTCGGTTTGAGCACCCGGGCAGTTTCACAGCCCTCACACAAATCAGTTGAGATTTGTTTGGCGCATATGTATTTGATGCCTCCTTGTACCAATATATGTGTTCAAATAAAAATAATGATATCTATTACCGTGTTCGATGTGCATGAGCACACTCTTCCTAGAAATAAATTCTAAGCCTCAACCTCAAGCCCATCTAGTTAGTTCGTTCAGGTCAGCTTGGAGATCGAAATGATCAGCCTAACTTCTCATTGTTCTCCAGATTTTAACATCATTCCCAATCAATAATGTCGACGACTTAAACAATGGTGGCAATCCATTGACGTAGAGAAAGAAGAGTAGGAGACTTAATATGGTGCGTTGGGGTACATCACTTTTGGCCAGGTTCCATTCGGATAGCACCTGTCATCACGAAGCTCGAGAGATTCTGCACATAACCTGAGTGTGAAAACTTGTCAAACGCTTCGCTAAAGTCTATGAATATCACATCTACAGACAGACCGTTATCTAGGGATGCTGTCTGATCCTCTCCCTCAATAAGTTAGTCAAGCATGAATGCTTGTTTCAAAACCCGTGTTGCTCGGGAGTTAGCAAACTGTACGAATCTATGTGACTTGGTAAGTTAACACGAGTTATCCTCTCAAATAATTGATGAGTATGATGGTAAGACTGGCAGGTCGGTAGTTAGATACGATCCATCTCTGACCATCCTTAAATATAAGACTGACTATAGCATCTTTCCAATCTAGGAAGTTGAGCTAGTTAGAGAGACGTGCTGAAGAGCATCGCGAGTGATCTTGAAATGATGTCCGCGAGGGATGACAGTAGTCGTGGATGTAACCCACCAGGTCCCGGTTATTTATTTATTTGAATACATAAATATTGGTACAAGAGGGCACCAAATATATATGCGCCACGCAAGAAATGAGAATGGGAAGAGAAAAAAAGGAGGCCCGGTATCTTAAAGGCTTGAGGCTAGTGACCAATAGAATAACAGTTTCCTCAGTCACATGTACAGATCCAATAGCTGTTATCTCGGTGTGATTGCGACAAATATTTATAACAATACACGTATAGTAGACCTCGCTAAAATAGTTTGAAAAAGTCTCAGCTTTTGTCCGATCTGATTCAGCTAGTAAGTCTGAGTTTTCGTGTAACAGTAATGAGGGAATACCATCATTATCTTTTGTTCGACCGATCAGTCAGTCATAATAGCACAGTCTCTGATTGCCAGAATATTAGCTCGCCAGATATTGGGACGGGGTGGAGCAGATACATATTGTATACCATGAGTCCTAAACTTAGAGTAAGGTACAACGTGATCAATAGTCACTAGTGGAGAAAGGTGCTGAATGTCGATGACATTCTCACAGTGGTGTGTGAGGGCAAGGTCCAGCAATAACGGGTCATATTCCAAGTCAATATGTGTTGGTTTTGCGATACATTGTACAAGTGCACACTGAATAATGATTGATAGAAAGTCGCTATCGAAACACCCACCTGGAGCTGTAAGCTCTATCCAGTTGATATACGGTGCGTTGAAGTCTCCAATGATGAGATAACATTCTGCCTTACTCCAAGATTTATTGATTTATTTGTTTGAACACAAATATTGGTACAAGGGGGCACCTGACAAGTGGTCTGAGTCATGTTGGTAGATGTAGACTACCTAGTTGCGGACCGCGAGATGATAGAAACCGATGGTTAAAGACCTTGAATGACATGGCTAAAAATCGTTTGCAATGGCGCAGGTGCATCCACTCTCTGTGTTCTCCCAAACTCTAATCTTCTGAATTCTCCATGTTCTTTATTTTCTTTCCAAATCTATTCCACTGGACTATACTCCTTAAATAACATCATTAAACTTTAACGTTTCCTGTCACTACTTACACTTTCACTACTCTGCCACTACGGGATTTGAGACGATAAATGAATCTCTGTGCTAATGTGGTATGGCAACTCGAACTGATGTACGTACGTACGAAGTTCCATGTTGTTTCTGTCTGTCTGGCAAGAGGGCACCAGATATATGTGCGCCGCACATCCAGAAACAGAGGTGTCTTAAGATAAAGTCGTCAGCCAGACAACACGGACTACGGTATATTCCTCCCAGTTACTAACTCGTTTCTGGACTTAGTTGTACAACATGCTACCTCACATGTACCACTAGTATGCGCCTCCGATATGATTGATTGCATACGAAAGTGATCCCTAACATATAATTTTAGCCCTTTGCAGCTTTCTTTCATGCCAGCAATCCTTCGGAGGCAACTGAAAGATCTGTTCTGATTGTACCTTTCCGTTTCCCCCACCATTGTTCTCTCTCTCTCTCTCTTCTTTTTTTTATAATTCCCCACGTTCATTACTTTTTTTTTTCTTCTCTTTTCTCCTTCTCTTCTAATTATCACTGTTTTGTGTGGCGCATATATATTTGGTGCCCCCCTGTACCAATATTTATGTGTTCAAATAAATAAATAAATAAATAAATAAACCTAACATATAATATTATACCTCCTCCATTGCGACTTAAAACTCTATCACTTCTAATACAGATGTAATCTGCAATGATAGGAGAACAGTCTATATCTACGGTGAGCCAAGTTTCTGTGACAAAAATCATATTGGGACTTAATTCATCCATCATCAAACTTAGGTCGGATAAGTGAAGCGGTCGACACGTTCAACTACTTCACTCCCTATCACTAGTTCGGGTGTCGACGCAACCCAATCCTGAAGCAACATTTTGCATTTCGAGGGAGAAAATCGCATCCCGAACATGCCTGAATTGTTGCTTAGAGTGGTCAGCAGACTCTGCATTTTGTCAGCGTCTCCACCAAATAGAACTATGTCATCGGCATACTCTAAGTCAACAAGTGAATCTTTCGGTAAAAGTTCAACTCCTAGAAATTTAGATGAGGAAAGTGTCATCTCTTAAAGGACGTCAACAATAAAGTTAAACAAGAATGGAGAGAGTGGACAGCCCTGACGAACACCACTTGAGGTAATCAGTTCTGATGACAGTTCGCCATAAGCTCTCACTCGACCAGTTGTGTTCGAGTAGAGAGCCTTTATAAGGTTAATGCACTTCTTTGGTACTCCTTTCAGTGACAAACACTGCCATAGAACCTCACGATCAACAGAGTCGAATGCCGCCTTAAGGTCGAGAAATGCTACCATTGTGGGGCGTCTGAATGTGTGTCTATGTTCTATGACCTGACGTAGTGTGAATATTTGATCTATACAACCTCGTCCAGGTCGGAAACCAGCCTGGTTTTCTCTAGTCTAGTCGGATACGCAGCACATATCTATGGAGCGAGATTCTAAAGTCTTAGCTAAGGAAGCCTGTTGTCCTATTTGGCACAGTGTTCGGACGTTGAAAGCTCCTACATGTAGTTTAGAGCGTGGTTTCAGGAGATCAGGGATAACGTTTCGCGTACTCGAATTGTTTGCACTAGCGGTGCGAGGTGATAAATGGACGTGAGAGGGGTCGGTCTTGGAGATAAGAGAGTTATTAGGAGTTGTAGGAAGGATTTGAATGTGACCAACTTGGTTTCTTGTGCTTTTACGGGTATGAGGGCTGATGTCACTTCCCGGCTGCCCACACTGCGGAAGGGTATTTGTTGAGGAACCTGAAAAGGAAATCGGATTAGTGTTGGTCTTAGCGACCTGGGAGCGTGACCACAGAGCCCAAGGTACAACTGCTTGAGGCTGGTCGCGCACGGCCTTTTTGTGGGAGGTTTTTAATGTGTTAGCTCCGTTCTTCAAAGGGCCTTACCGCCGGAGACGGAAATCCGTGGGGTAAGGTGTGACATTTTTAGGGTCAATCTTTCCTAACCCCTTCCTTCCTTGTGAGAAGGCAGCGTCGCTGCAGATGCTGGTTGTCCGAGGGAAACACCATACTGCTGCCACACCTATACACAGTCAGCAGTACGACTTCGCCCTCAGACCTTGAGTTGCTGCTTTTAGTCTTACCGTTCTCCAATCGACCTACCTGGCATGGTAGAACCTGCAGAAATATGTGTTCCAGCCAACATAGCTCGGTTGGGTCATCACGATAGGCAAGCCCGACCACCACGTCAAGGTAGCAGCTGTGATCGATTCTGAGCCATGTCACATAGAGTCTCCATCTAATGGTTATGATAGTCGCGCGGACCCCAATCAAGTCTGAATCTACCAACACGGCTCAGTCCCCAAGTTTGTGACTTTATGGACTGATGCCACATTTATAATCCTCTTCACCCTAACCGGTCACTTGTTTATTTTAGTAATGAATTGCACTTAGGATATACACTTATGATCGAGTGTTAAAGAGCTCGCACAGAAGTCCGTGAAAACCTTTTCACAGTTCGAACTACTGAGTTGTGGGATCCCCTACAGGAAGTTATAGTGGTGACACCATCTGCTGAGTCTTTCGAAAGAAGTCTCAAAGATAACTTAAATCCTTTAGATAATAAGAGGGACTACTTTGGATGTTAATTTTCGACCACTCCTACTTTCAACTCAATTGTTTTGTCCTTCAGTTTCTAGGAGGAATATAACAAGAACCATGTATTCCCACCATCAAAATGTTCCTTTAATACCCAGACGCAGGTCTCGAAGAACAAACAGTTAGTCAATTTTGCCAAGTTAAGCGAGGGCGACTCTCAAAGTACGTCTTTATAAAATGATTTGTAGGCTGTGCTAGTTGAAGCTCTTGTCATGCGATAAATTTTTTGGTTTCAGTTGATTATCCTAAATCGTTTTCAGTAAGTGCTTTGGCAATTAATTTTATGCTTGTAATTCTAAAAAGTATATTTCCATCTTAGGTCTTTTGGGAAAGTATTACTAATTGACTGTCCAATAAGAAGAAAATAATCTATTATCAATCATTTGTTTGCATTATCACCTCCGTCTTGATTACAAAGAAAAATGCCAACAGTAGATAAAGCCTTGGCCTTGTTAAGAAAATATCCTCGAGTTTCTCCTCACAATATATCTGATCTTCCAGGAAGCAAACCACCCGTAAGAAAATTGATATATATATCTTCATTGGTAGTAGAAGTATCACGGTTTGAAACGAATGCGAAGAGGTCTTGGTCATCGTGGTGCTTCCCAGTTTCAAGCCTTTCCACCCTTGGGAATATTGGGTGCGAAGACACCATTTTATCTTTCTGTTCCTAAAGAACCTTACAACATTAACAGCATGTAAGTAAATACATAATTCTTCTTACAAACCAAGGTCTGAAAACAATCTTTACCGTATTTCGCTTCTAGAGCTCCAGAGACTGATAGACCTTAATCGAATAAATCCATTAGAGCCTATTGACATTTCCACACTATGTAACACCAATCTTTACCGATTAAATGTGGATCATGATCGGCATTATGGTTTCCATCTAACTGACGAAGTAAGGTTGTGTAATAAACTGTTTAAACAATTGTAGGGTATCGATAACTTTGTTACTCCTGTTAATATTGAAGTTCAGTATGCTAGCGAAGAAGTAATTGCAGCTGTGGAAAGAGTAGGAGGAATAATCTGTAACCGTTATTATGATCTGTATTCCGTTTGGGTAAAATCTGATCCTCAAGGATTCTTCATGAAAGGCATTCCGATCCCAAAAGCTAAATTGCCTCCTAATGTAAGTTACAAAACGATTTCCTGTTTCATGTGGCTAGTATGTATTGTATATATTGAAAACAGCATTAATTATCGTGAACGTGCAGATGAACCTTTACGCATGCGTCGGTAAAATACTGTAGTTAGTTACATTTTGTTATACTTTCTACCTTTTGTGCGCTAATCAAGGACGCTCTTTTAACTAGTACTTTGCAGATTCGTATCCTTTCTTTTTCCATACATGTTGACTTCGTTTTTTATCAAATTTTTTTTAAAAATTGGAACTCATCCTTAGTTAATGGTAAATTATTTACTTAAGTGTTGCACGGGTTTCATAAAATGATGGCTTATTAATTCATAACGACAGGTTTTCCTTCAACATGTTTAATATTTTTTAAAGCTCATTTAGTCTCAAAATGCGCACTAAAAGTCGGGATTTTACTCTACTAATTCCCTGGAAATTTTTCCGAAGAAGCAAACAATTTTGGTTGTACCAATGGAAGTGGTGGTGAGTATCTATCAGTGTTTTTTGGAAGGTTCTCAAGTGCACCTTTCAACTTGTTTTTATAGTACTGGAAGCTTTCCATCAGAATAAGAGGTTTCGTCCGGTCACTGCACATTTTGATAAGAGAGGTCAAGTAATCTATCAACATCCAATGTGCCCACATCCACAAACACTTTCAACTAAACACAAATTTAGTGTATGTGGCTATCATCGTTCTCTTTTTTTGTGTAAACGTAGCTCTATAAGACAATTCTTCCTAGTATTTAATTACTTACTGACTGCATAGTTCAAAGTCGAATCAATTTATTTAACGTAGGCTGCATGTAACTTACACTTCAGTTGTGAAAGACAAAGGATAAATGGATGCCATAGGATTTGCTGACAGACACTTGTGTGTTCTTTGCTTTTGTCGGTACTTAATAGACACTTTCTTAAACATGTTACTTGTTTCATTTTCGCTTTTGTAAACAAATATCTTGAAGAGAGCAAGAACAATATAGTTAACTCGATTGAAATCTTCTTTAAATCATGATACACATCTTCATCTTTTATCAACTTCGTATGTATAAGCTGTAAGCAGCTGATGAAAACCTAACGTAATAAAATGAATTCATATTATTTTGCATCAATCTTTATTCTTGCTCTCTTTAAGACAATAAAGGGAACTATGTGTATGGAATGACTTGAAATAAAAAATATATTTCATTTACAAAGTGCAAGTTCATATACTCAGTTTTGATACACAATTTTTGTATGAGACCTAATAATATTACTCCGCTGTCAAAATAAAACTGGTGAAACTATAATTTATGGACGAACCAATGAGATTTCATTTAGAAAGTCTTAGATTTTAGCGCGAAAATCATTCATTCATGTGACTAAATAGCATTATAGCTGATATCAGTTAATAACCAAAACCCTTATTTGCAAATCTAAATTGTAATCCTAATTTCTCGCTTTTATTTATAACCCTTTCAACTCCCGTAAGTGAATCTCCTCAAGGTCACCCTAACATCTCTAAAAGGTTTTCCGTATACTATGGTCTCACTCAGTAATAGTTGATTTGAATTCCCTACCTGAACAATATGTATCTCATATTTCGACGATTATTCCGAGAATGGACTTTTGAATTAGAGTTTTTAGTGGGAAAACAAAAATTTTCCACATTTAATGATAAACCACTACCACTTTATAGCAAGAAAATATCAACTGACAACTTACTTAATTCTAACATCCTTTATTTCTCGAGAGGTTTGCAGACAATTCAGCTAAAAGTAAATGACACAAGGTTTGAAAAGGGCAAAAAGTTGTGGCTCAGATTTGAACGGATAGGTAGGATGGCTAAAGTACGAATCTAGACGGTGTTCCGTACTGAAACACGATTATTAATCTGATTCTAGTTAACTTTCTGGGTAGGATCCTCAGGATTTTGAGAACCAGTGATCAATAACAGTTCGAATTCGACTATAGTACCACAAATGCACCATTCGCCTTTTACCTAGATTTTGAGTATAGTATTTTTCTTCCATTAATCTCTCCCTACTCATATTTCCTAATTGTTGCAGAGTAACATGACCTAAACCAAAGGATGTTTTTGCGGTTTTCCAAGTTTATCTTTCATGCTTTTTTGAAAATCAAGAATTCATAGCTATTACTAATATCCAACCGCAGATATATATATATATATATATATATATATATATATATATACCGAATTAAAACTAGAAATTGATAATAACTCAATTTCAAGTGCAATGTTATGGTTTGTGAAACTGCAGAAAATGGAGATCATAAATCTAATGTTAGGCAGTTGGAGAAAATCAACATCTATGTTTAAATATCTGTATTGTGCTATTAGAGACTCATTAAAGAGTTGGATCCTCAATCTTGAGAACGCCGAAGATCCCCGTACGGTTCGAGCCCGCACCGCCCAATGTCACAGTACTTTATTACTATTCATCTGATACTGATGAATTTATTATTTGAGAATATGGTAGTAATATATTGTTTGCTGGCTACTCCCGTTTGGTAAAAATTTAATCAAGTTTTACGGTGTGGTAAAATCTCACAAGTTTATTCACAGACACATTCTCGTTGGTTTCTCTCAAACATTATTAACATTTATTTTATCATAAGTCCTGAATTGATACCTGGTCAAATATCGCGAGCATACTCATTTTGAATCCTTCATATTGAATTTGTAATTAAATCTCATTTTGGATATATCACTTTAAAAAAGTGCTGCCATTCAGGGATTTTTAGTTTGTTATCATCTTATTATTATGAGTCAGATAATATTCGCATACTCAGTAGAAAGAAAATTTAGTTTAAATTCGAAAAACATCACAATCTGATTTACACCATGTTACCATCGTCCGGTATTTGATCATTATTCTTTGAATTTAAACGTATTTTGCTTCTTATAGGCGTTGATTCCATTCTACGCGGACGCTGAGTCTCGAGGTTATCTGGCGGACCCTGAGGCAGTGGCGAAATCTCGAATTTGGCTGGCTCAAAAGTATGGTTATCACCCAGTCGATTTTAGTTCATCCTCAGAATCTACTCGAAAGCTTATGTCTATGCGGAAAGATCCTCGACAAATATTTCATGGACTGGAGCCTGGTTGGCTTGTCAGTATTCCTGACAAAGCGGTTTTAAAGCCGAAATCTGATCTCCTTGATACCTACCACAAATCCTGATTTGCCCAGTATTTTATAAAATGCATTTTGAAAGTTATACTATGGATAGATGCATGTTAATTACAAATAATAAATAGTATATGCAGTTTTAAAAATTCTATGCATAATTATGTAATGTAAGTTTATGTGATTAGCAAGTCATTGAAAGTTAGAAAAATGTTAAGAGAAGTTAAGTTTTCTGGACTCTGCTGAGTTCTATATAAATGGCAACGAAAATTGATTGATAGCAGAAAAATTCCTTTACCTAGTTTTACCATAATCAAAAATGTAATTGAATTCGATTGTGTATGTTGGAACGACACAGTGGACAATCATGAACACTTTGAGAACATTTCTTGCAACAACAGACATGACCACATGGAAGGAATATCGTTGAGCACTATACTTGGAATAAACAAAAAAGTATGACAGTTAATGAAAATCTAAGAGTTAAAAATGGTAGGGCATCAGTCTTAAACTACATACAGCCTAGCACAAGTCTGCGTTAAACTAAGACGCCACACTAAATTAACACGAGATGAAATTAACAGAATGAAATGGCGACAGAGTTAGAATGATGATTGCAGCAGCACTGTGATAATGAGAAGAATTATGCATTGGAGATTATGATTTGAAAAGATTGCTAGGGTACATATGAAGAGATGCTGGAGCTGAAGATTCAGGAGAAGATAAAGCAAATGCATCAGCACCACTCCGACAGACACACGCGACTATCACATGCCAATTGTGGTTTCAAATGTTCTACTAAATAGTAACTCCTAGAAATTTCTGACCGTAAAATCTATACTTAAAATATCGGTTCTATTCAGTACATTTTAAAAATCGTATACGTCGAAGTTACAGTTATTTCATATATCAGTGTTATGAAATTTAGCTTTATGTGATTTTTAAATTGAGAAAGCGACCACTAGGATTGAACCTGTTTCTATGAATAATCAATGAGCGCATAAGGATTTGCGGCGAGACCATAATTTATGGACGAACCAATGAGATTTAGTTGAACAAGTCTTGGGTTTTATCGCGAAAATCATTCATCCATGTGGCTAAATAGCATTTTGACATTATAGCTGATGTCAGTTCGTGATGAAAATCATGACGTCCAACTGCACGTTTTAATTCTAGTTCCGCAAACTGATTTATAACCCTAGAAGGTGAATTTTCTCAAGGTCACTTCGTCGTCGTTCAAATCTCGTCCATAAATTATGGTCTCACTGAATTCGCTTCATTGTGTGCATAAATATATACCGTTTCACTAAAAATTCGGTGAAACAATTTTTATTACTTTTCCGAAAACGACATTACCCTATATGGCTATTTTATGCATAGATGTATATACATCTGTGAGAATTGGCCTGATAAGTATATTTTATGAGATCTTAGTTACCATCATTACCTAACGCTTAATTAAAGCTCAAAAACGGGATATCAGAAAGGCATCAGATTTGTTCGAGAAATGATTGACCTAAATCTTTAAACATAGGACATCACATTGTGGCCCCATACTTTTTGATGATCGCAGTCAGCTAAGGGATTTCGTAGTCGAAATTTCGTTAATATTAAAAATGTACTTAGAAACATTAATAAAATGTGTCAAACAATGTTCCACTCACTATTGCGTCTTGACATATACAACACTCATTTTCCATGTGAGCCACAACTTCGTCAGATACAATAATACTCGATAATGTAGCCTCCGGAGCTGATGGTGTTACATACGGTGTTGGAAGTGATTCTATCGTATTTAACGTCTGTTGTCGAAAAAGAAATAAATCAAAAATATATAACGAATTATCACGAAGACTTTGGTTTTCCATAAGTTTGAATAAACTGTAGCGAGAATGCTGATAATGCACTCAAAGTAATGTTAATACATATCTGTCTATTTTGAAGGAAATATAACAGAAGTTATATTTACTTAGGTTTGAATTAAAAACTGCCAACGAGTAAGAGTCTACATACACAGTAAATTTTGCTTAATGTTAACTGTTGTCCTAACCATTGATTCTCTACATTGCATACTTTTGTTATTTTTCATATTACATTCAATCAACTACTGATTATGAATTTTTAAGGTTATCCTGTGCATAGAAAAAACTTACGTTACAAATGCTCAGTTTGTGTATTTTTATACCTGTCAAACTTCATATTACTACTACTAACCATATACTACACAATTTTACAAATGAATAAAAAGATGTGTCCGAATATATCATTTGTAAAGTAAATTTATTATAGATGCTAATTTTAAATCTAGCTGCTTCTATCATTAGGTGATTAGAAGAATGATTAATCATTGTGTATGAAATTCATTATCAATTTAAATTACTACATGAAGTAAGTTCAATAGTCTATACTTCAAGAGTTAGATAAATCATTTTAAAGGATTTTATCAGGTGACTCCAAATAACTTGAGTTCATAATAATATTTTAGTATTGAACTGTTGATTGATTTACATTCACCTTTCGAAAGCCATGCATGATAATATTTGGAGATACTTTTGGAAAGTGTTTGCTTTGTACGGCTTATGTAACCTACTCCACAAGAACAAATAGAAGTATAAATACACATTGATATAGCCCAATGCAAAAGTTTTTCCTTAACACATCTATGAATGATAGGTGGGCTGAGAAGGATGGTGCGAATATTGGAGGCATAAAAAATATTTCTCAAGGATTTCGCTAGACAATTTCTCAAAGTTTTCACAGCAGTATCCCAGTTGCATTAAATATTCATCAAGAGAGTTAGGAACTGTATGAGATCTCGCAGATTTTAATTTAGGTTTCATGTTGCGCTCAACAAACTTTGGTGGATAGCATCACGGCTCATAATACTGTCAAGCTACCACTTACATCGAGGTATTTCTTGCGAGATTCGAACCTGTAATATCACTTTTTAAATTAGCTCATTTCAATTTAAAAATTATCACTGATCTACATGATATGTTTAAAATCAAGAAAAATATGTTAGAAATACCTTGTCTTCATCATTTGTTTTCATTTTGTACAAACCAATCTGCCTCAAAATCTCACGACGTGCTCCAAGAGTGTGAATACCAATCTGTTTTATAATACGTAGGTTTAAAAAAAAACGGAAGGCATTATTATCGATCGAAAAGTCTACCTTTAAAAACAGTCATAACTTACGATCAATCAATGTACGGGAAATATATAGACTGCAAAACATCGTGTGTCAAGTGTACAGTGATTCTTTCTACTTTTAGCTAGTTCTCAAGATGTACAAACTTGTACTATTTCATTAACTATGAGAGATAGAAGAGTAACTTAGATAGTTGTAAATTAGGATCTAAAATTAAACCACAAATCAGCGAAATTAAAGTATCACACTAAACTGTTCAAGATAACAAATTAAAAAAAACCCTCAAAATATGCAAGGAAACTATCAATTTAAAAAATTCGTTCGTATCAAATAGGGTTAGTTAAAAATTGAAAACAAAACAGCCCACACGATTTTCCAACAATGGAAAAAAAGGATATTATTAAGAATGATAATTGTGAACAGCTTAAATCAATCAGGCACAATCAATAAAAAGACACCAATGCATGTCAGCATAAGTTGTTATGCCACGACAAGATGAAATTAAAAGTGATAGGAAAAAGTTCCGAACAATAGTATAAATGATAATGAGAAAGACTAAAAGTAAAAGAATAGAGTTTGAAAAGATAGTTAATTCGAACAACAGAAAGTATGAAGTAATATTTAGTTCAAGAAATACGGGAAAATAATGAGTTGATGCATCTGTGCTTTTGTGATCAGTTTCATAGTTGCCCAACGTCTTCAACCACCTCAAAAAGACTAGTAAAGTACCAAACTATCATTACGAAAGGAAATATCCAAAATCTATAACAATCATGAACTCCCTTGATTTAAAAATGCAAAAGATAGGACGTCAACTAAGTGGATTGAAGATTAAGTGGCTTCATAGAGGGACCGAAGTCTCTGCGTTTTATCCCACAGGGTCATAAGTGAGCAATGCAGAGAAATCCCATTCTAGGATGAGACAACTTTTTAGTGCCTTATGGTTTTCAATGATTGACGATTCGACAAAAGGACTGAGACCTATCCTACCATCAACGCTCAAGAAGCCGATAGTTGATAAATTGTACGGAATTCGGGATTCGATCTTAAGTAAAATTAGTTTATTCCGTGAACACAGACACAATAAAGTATCTTGATGCTCAGGGGAAAGGGCCATTTTAATAACATTGGCCACAAAATTTGCTCGTTAAGTTATATATATTTAGTCACTCGCTCCACTGTGTCGCTTGTATTGTTTTACCTGAACATAAATTTGTCCTAAGAAACTCTGAATATTATTATTATTAGTAGCTTTATACAATAATATATTTTTGGTACAATATATAATTCTCGGTACAAAGTATTTCAACAAGTTTCCTTTTCTTACTTCATGATCGATCCTGACGTTAAATATTGAGTGACCGCCAGTTAGCAGTTCAAGAATCGACATCTGAATAATGTCCATTCGTTTCAATGTATGTTGTAAGCTACCACAATGTCTCTGATTGTACTTTTTAGTCACTTGTACATCAAAAGGTCGTAAACTTTTCATAAACGCGCCTGATTGCGATTAATAGACATAATAATGTGTTGAAACAAACAAGAGTAGATAACTTGTTGAAATATCTAGATGGCAGGATCAGGTAGCCTAGATATTCAAGTAGGCTGCCGTGATGATATCCCGTACAGTTGGTGGTTGCCATATTAAAGGCTA